CGAGGGGGATGCGGGTGCTGCCCGCCCCGCCAGCCCTCCCCGCCGCCCGCCGGCAGCCCCTCGGCCAGCAGAAAGGCGGGCTGGGGGCTGCCGGGGGGGGCCGCGGCGGCCGTGCCGAGGGAGGGAGAGGAGAGAGGAGCGGAGGAGGGAGCCAGGCTCTTTCCCGACGTCGTCCGTCGTGGCGTACTCGTTTGCGAACCCCAACCGGCACCGGCTCCACGCTGAGAGCGGCAGCCCCGGGCAAGGGCCGCAAGCCCACGGGCCAGCTCGGGGGCCCGGCGCATCACCGCCCTCCCCTCCCTCCCCCTCTCTTTACCTGGCTGTACTTGGCCTCCTGCTCCAGGGAGCTCTTCTCCAGCCCGTTGACGGCGTGCTGGGCCGCGGGGGGGAAGCTGTTTCGGCCCAGGCTGCTCCATTCCTCCACCTTGGGGCTGGGGTAAGGCGAAGTGTCGCTCACTGCTGGGAAACACGGAGGGAAAGGGGGGTTAGAGGCAGGGATCGGGATGCGGAGCACTTTGCTCCGGGCCGTAGACGGCTCCCTTTCCGCAGCCCGTAGGGCAGAGCAGAGGGGAAGCCTGGCCCTCGCCCGCTACACCTCGCCGACCCTCCCGGGAGCCCCTGGAGAGGGTGATCCGGAGGGAGAAAGGAGCCGGGACCCGCCGTCCAGCTGATGGCAATGATCCACAGCCGAGCCTGGAGATGGCTGAGGCGCCCGTCCCCGCGTTGGCGAGATGGAGCTGCCCCCCAGCCCCGGCACTTTTCCCCCGGGATCTCCTAAGGGGGAAGTTACGGGAATCGCTCTGTGTGTGTCTGTGTGTGTGTATATGTGTGTATGTGTGTGTGCGAGGACAAACGATACCCCCTGTTAGAAACAACCCCGACGCGGCTGCAGATGAACCAGGCTGCAAACAAGTTTGGGACGAAAAACACAAGAAAACAAACAAAACAACACAACAACAACAAAAAAAAAGAAATTAAAAAATAATAATAAAAGAAATAAAAGGGAAAGGAATATAAAAGAAAAGCGGAAGGAAGGGAAGAGAGAGGAAAGAAAAAGATTAAAGCCCTGTCATTTACACACGCATCAGCCGCGGCACGGGAATACCGGGCTGTTTGGCAGGCGGGGAAATTCCCCCCCCAGGCCCGGCCGCATTGGAGGCTGCGGGCCCGCCGGAGCGTCCCCGCACCACCGCCCCGCTCGGCCCCTCGCCCGGGCTGGGGAGAGGCACAAACCTGAAGTTGTCTTAAGAAACTGAGCTCTCTCGATGAGCGCCCTTTTCTGCTGATCTCACACTTTCCCATGAATAGGGGCTTCCTTTCCGTGTCAGCAAGGTCAGTTTATCCTATAAATCAAGGGCGATCAGCCCCCATCTGGGGCATCGGCCGCTCGGCAGCCCCGGCTCTCTGCTGGGAAGGGGAGGGGGGAGATTTTTAACGCTGCAGAAAGCTGTGTGCGGGTCTGAGGGAGACGGGGCAGATACCGAGGCACCCGGCAGAGGCCTGCCTGCTTGCCAATGTGGTGTTAATAAAAGAGGATCTCACTAAAAAAAAAAAAAAAAGCCAACCTCAATTTCTCATGTGATTGTAATGTTCTCATTCTTTTTAATGTTCATTGCCAGCACTACCTCTCCCCAGCACAGGGCAGAGATTGCCAGGCATGTATTTGTTAAAGTCAACTCAGAAACACGGTTATTTGTGCCAGTGCGGGCTGAGGATAAAGTTTATATCGTGAAGTAGAGGGCAAAGAAGGACAAAAACTTATATATTTTTGTAAGTGTTAGTATAAATAAAACATACTTAAGTGTTCCTGTGTGTATTGCTTGAAAAAAAAAAAAAAGTACCATCTTTTTGAGAAAAGAATAAGAAAATTATTCTGTAATGTCTAAAGGATCAATTTGCATTTGAAGTGCTGCTGGAACCGGATTGTTGCCGTTAAAACGCAATGAAAACAGAAATCACAGCTCCCCCCCCCTCCCCCCTCCGCTAATTGGGAGGGAAGAGTGGGACATAGAGATCGCTGTAGGCGAAGGTTATTTTAGACTGTTGTTTTAACCACATTTACTGTTAGTTCACTGGCAGAGACCGAAACGGAAAAAATGTCCATTTCTTTGCGGCAAAGCGTAGCGAGCGGCTGGGAGACGCGACGCAGTTTCCAGGCGGAAAAAAAAAAAAAAAAAAAAAAAGAAGGTGGAAGAGATATAAGAAGAAAATCGGGGATGGGGGGGCGGGGGGGGAGTTCGTTTTCCTAGACCACCGCTTCGGAGGAAAATACAGCACCAGAATGAAAGCAATTAGGTGACATTTGAACTTCCTGCCGGAGCAAATTTGGCCTGATTGCGAAAACTAGAGAAAATGGACTTCTCGGTAACGCCAAGGCGGCGCCTGAGACTGGAGGGTGGCAGCGAGCCCCGGCCGAGACGGGCACCGGCACCGGGACCGAGACCGAGCGCGCCCCGGGCCGTTCCCTCCAGCCGAGTTCGCCCACTCTCGGGTCACAACGGCAGGGGGGACCGCCGGGATTGTACCGGTTGGCCGGTCCGCCTGCAGCCCACCCTGGCACCCCCGGTCTGCCCGCGTCCCGAGGCGCATCCTCCGGTAAGCTCGGTGCCCGGCTGGGGCTGGGGAACACGCAAGAGGTTTCCCTGCGCAAACCACGAACCCTCCTTCCGACCCTCGGTGAGGAAGGAGCCCAGGAGCAGGGGAGAGAAACCCTCCGGCCCTGCCCGGCTGCCGCTGCGGCCCCTGTCCCCCCTCCTCACCTTGGTCTGTGATGGAGCGGATCCCCAGGATGTCCGTCACCGAGTGGGAGGACGGCCACGTCCTGGGCATGGCCATGGTGCTCGGGATGGCTGGCACCCCGGGAGGGGTGGGCACCTTGGCTCCCGCAGCGGCGATGGGGCTGGGGTAGGAGTAGATGTGGTTGTAGGGCAGAGCGGGCTGGGGGGGCGGCTGGTGCTGCTTGTAGGACTCGTAGTGACTCTGCTGAGACAGGTTCCCGATTTTGTTCCGGAGGATGCGGCTGATGGAGCTGACCGACGGCACGTTGTACTTGTCGCACACGCCGTCGGCCAGCAGGCGATCCCGGATCTCCCAGGCGAAGATGCCCGGATCCCTTTGTTTGTAGGTCCGGATATGTTTTACCACCGTGGGGGTGGTGACCCGAGGCTTGCTGCCTCCGATAGCCCCCGGGAGGATGGAGCCGGTCTCGTTGTAGCGAGCCAGGATTTTGCTGACACAGCCGTGGGAAACGCGGAGCTGCCGGCTGATGTCGCACGGCCTGATCCCCAGTTGCGCCAGTTCCACAATCCGCAGCCTGATGGCATTGGGCAGGGGTCTCCCGTTGACGAACACCCCCCCGAGCTGGTTCACTTCCCCGAAGGCAGGTTCTGCAAGCAAACACACAAACACACCCGTCGGACACGGCGAATGGCTCAGAAGGGGGCGTCTGAACTGCTCCTCCTCACACGGCAAATGTCACAGCTCGGGGACCCATCGGCTGCTCCACGCACGCTTCTTTATGATAGCGGGATGTCCCGAAAATTGGAGGAGAAAGAAGAAAAAAAAAAAGCAAGAGAGAAAAAAAAAAAAAGAAAAACAAAAAAAAAAAAAAACGAAAAAAGAGCAATTGTTTTGTTTTTCTGTTGATAGACTGTGTTTACTGCATCCACAACAAGG